ATTTCAACTTTAAACATTCATACTACTTTAATTAGCGCGATTTAATTATTTTTAAACATTTGTTTTATTCGATAAGCTATTTATAAAAAAATAATGAACATTTATTAACAATCAGATTATTACGAGAACAATTTTAAAATGAAAAAAAAATGAAGCACGTCGTTTATAAGAGGTAGAACCATGCAGTTATATTAGAAGTATAGTTGAGAGTATAGTTGAGAAGTATACCACACTCTCACAGAATATCAATGTAAAATAGTAGCTTAATGATGTTGTGTTTCGTATAGTGAGTGTAGAGAACCAGAGACACTTTTTAAAGGAAACGAGGCATTTCATCTTAGTCCTCACGGGTGACAACGCATCTGCATTTTGACTCGTAGATGTCTGTGGGCCACAGCAACCACTTACCATCAGGTGAACTGTGTGCTCGTTTGTCACCCTATCCTATATAAAAAGCGTCGATTTCTTATAATTTAATAGTGCAAGTTTTCGAATCATCATCATCATTACAGCTCTTCACAAGTCCACTACTGAACATCCTCCTCCAAAGAATGCCGCAAAGCATGGTCCTGAGCCACTTTCCTTGTCATGAATTTTTCATTGATGTTCTAAGTTATAATTAGTACCTATTATTAAGTCAGTGTTAATAATATTTATTGCTATTGTTCTTGTCTTTCTCAAAAAATAATTAAATTACCAAATAAATTATAAGTTGTTTTTTTATATACATCAAATGTCTGATAGAAAAGCAAGTACATGTTTTGCTAAACTTTAAAAACAAAACCCAATTTTAATACATAGACTAATCGATTATAACTCCTTTAACTTTAAAATAACTTAAGTTCTAATTAATGGTATTTATACCAGTTTCTGATGCATGTAAAGAATAAATAAAGCTAATCGTATATCGTATATCTATTTACAGCCCTATTAATATTCACTATTCTTTTATAATTATTTTATAAAAACGTTACCCCCCACACTTGGATTTTCTCCTGTGTCGCGGAGGCAACTTACAAACATAAATTGCACAAGGACACACATCCAGACCCGAAACAATTATTTGTAGGACATACAAATACTTGTTCCGTGCGGGATTCAAACCCGCGACCCCTGGCACAGCCACTCATTGCCAAGCCATTGCTCCACGGAACCGACGTCTAAAATAAAATAAATTCGTCCGCACATTGGCCCGAACCGAAGTAAACTGAACGACCTTCCAACGTGTGGACGCCGTCACCAACTCTCGGCCAATATATTCGCCACTACATTCGCCACTGTGTTGGCCAACGTGTAGAGGCGACATTAGACGTCTCGCTCTTTTTTGCCGAAGTATTCGTATTTGTATAATTTTATTTTTAAATTCATCGTTTTATAAATATTTTTCTTTCGATAAATTAATAGAATATTAATTTTCTTTCGTGTGAATATAAAATATTTTTAGTTCAAATATCGTAGTAAGGTATATTTTCATTTGTACATAATGGGAAATAAAGTGAAACCCGTTACGAAAAGTAAAAAACGTTCATATAAATCAAACGCCCAAAATATGAACGATATTAAAAGGTAAGAACATATTATTATTACTAATTATTCATTTTATAGCAATAAACATATGAATTTCAGAAACTTAGTTTATTACGGTAGTGTATTTGGTAGAGGTACCACCTACCTATGGATTTTCTTTTTGCATTCGACAGTGCCCGGATTAGATTTCAGGAATATGAAGTCAAATTTTCCTTTTTTTTCTTTTATATAGGTAGTTAGTATAATAAGTTTATAACTTAGATAAATTTATTAAATAATTTTATAATAAATTTATAAATTAAATATTTTCCTTTCTATAAATATTTTTTATTCCATAAATATTCTTCTATCGTTGAAGTCAAATTTTCTTTTTGGTCTTTTGTAAATTTAGTATTATATATTTATATGAATTTATTAACGAATTGATATGTAATTATTTTTACAGGATAAAGAAATTTGAAAATACCGACATGGAAGTTATTTCCAATGCGTAAGTATCGCAGAGTAAAAATAAAAAAAATAAAAATACCCAATGTTTTTGTTAAAAGACAGAATAACAGAACAGAACCATCTTTTCTATTGATTTTGCTTATAATAAACAGGAATTATAATTATTTATGAATTAGGTCTTTTACTTGTATCATTGTTTTAGGAAAAACCAGCAAGAAATGCACAGAATTGACATCAGTGGCTCTAACTGTTTCTGATAACACTCAGTAAGTAATAAGTTTGAGATATTATTCGATTCGTCATTACTAAGTGTCACACATTACAATTGTTTTTACATATATATTTTTAGGGGTTCCGTACCTCAAAAGAAAAAAGGAACTCAAAATATGGATTATATATACAAGAATTTATAGTATCACTATGTAGTCCGTCTGTCTGTCTGTCAGTCTGTCTGTCTGTCGTCTGTCTGTCTGTCTACGGGGTACCTCCCGTTGACCTAGAATCATGAAATTTGGTGAGAAGCTAGGTATTAGAGAACTAGCAAAGAAATCTGAAAATTAACTTATTTTAGCTGTTTTTTCTTTTGTCTTAAGAGCAGTATATATGGATTAAAAAGGCTGCCTTGTTGGTCTAGTGATTATAGTAGTGCGACTGCTGATCATGAGGCCTGGCATCCGGGTCGGGACAAAAAATTAATTTAGTATTAATTTATTATTAGTAGGGATTGACGGCAACTGTTTTATTTATTTCTAAAATATTTATTACATTATTTCTAAAATAGTCAAATCTTGTTTGTCTATTTTAGGACAATCAGCCAGTCGACACTTGCAATTGGTGACACATCGATTCGAGATGTATCCGAACGTTTTATTTGTAGCGAGTGAGTATATTTTTAGTCAATTTATAGCAATTTGTTATCCTTTTCCCACCGAAAATATTTGTATTAAAATGTGGTTTCTTTTACAGAAGTTTGGATGATTACATGACTCCTTATTTAATTGAACCAGAAAAAAATGAAAAAGTCACATCTATAAACGGAAGGAGAATGATAGATATTGTGTTATTTTTTAACAAGTTAAAAGAAATTTCAAGCCACAAAAGCCTATTTTAACTGTGGTATTCAGTGCTTGATGTTACTAGGAGGGAAAAGTATTGGACTTGCATCAAAATTCAAGTTAATGTGCGAAATGTGTGGTATGGTCTTTCATATCGATTCAGATGACCCAGCAACTACTGAAAATGTCGATACGAATACAGGAGCCGTCGTAGGAATAATATCTATGGGAATAGTTTATTCACAATTTGAAGAAATATGCTCGTCGATGAACATACCTATGTTTTCCGAAAGATATTTTTCAAAAATACAAGATAAAGTGTTCGATGAGTGGGAAAGGACAGCTGCAGAAGAGATGGAAGCTGCTGCTAAACGTGAAAGTGAGGCTGCCATTGCTGAAGGGAGAACAAAAAATGGAATACCAATAATAGACGTATATGCAGATGGATGTTGGAGCGCAAGATCCTACGGATATAATTATAAGGCTTTATCCGGAGCTGCAGTAATTATTGCTCGTAAATTTGGGGAAGTGTTATTTATGGCCGTGAAAAATAAGTACTGTGTAATTTGCGCACGTGCTGAAAAGAAACAAATTACTCCTAAAGAACATGTTTGTTACAAAAATTATGAAGGTTCTTCGACAGGAATGGAAGCCGAAATAATATGTGATAGATTTCGGAACTCGATAGATATGTATAACGTCATTTATGGGAGATTGATAGCTGATGGTGACTCCTCAACTTACGCTAAAATTTTAGCCCTTAACCCGTACCCCAACATGACTGTGACAAAAATTGAATGCAGAAATCACATACTTCGTAATTTATGCAACAAATTACGAGCGGTATCTAAAGACGTGAAATATCCCTTGAAATTTAGAAAAATGTTGACCGACAGTAAAGTGATGACCGTAAGAAAAGTGGTTGTTTGCTCAATAAAAGAACAACGCAAATTACTAGAAAAAAAACATAAAACAAAGGTGCAAGCAAAAGAAATGTTACATGCCGATATACAAACTTCACATGCATTCGGAGACCACAGACAGTTAAAGATTATTTCTGTACAAAAGACAAGACATTGGAGAATGCAATGGCCGTAGAAAACTCAACATTTTAGTTCCGAGTACCCGGTTGACCGAGCTTTGCTCGGTATTTTTCGCGCGGTTTTTTTTAATCCGTGTATTTTGAAAATTATATTTAGATACAAATTACATAATGATGAAATACGAATAATATTTTCTGATCTTAGCAACGTAATAGAAAAAACTGAACTGGTTATTTGAATAAAAAATCATGAGTGCAATTAGTTTAATTTAGATTTTCGTGTTTTTAAAAAATACTAAAAAAAGGGCTCGAAAAAACTAAATTTTCTCAAAAAAGAAAGTAACTTCAAAAAAAAAATTAAAAAAGTCGGTCGGTCGGTCGGGGCTCGAACCATGGTATTACGATTTTGTGACCGCCCAATATACCAATTAAGCTATTTGTAATCATTAAAAAACTGTCAAAATTTACCTTCTTATTCTAACGATATTGTAGCAGTTTTTCATTGTCTAAAAAAACGGACAAAAAAGACATTTTCTAAAAATAAATCCTAGCTAGATCGATTTATTGCCCTTGAAACTCCCTGCACACAAAATTTTATAAAAATCGTTGGAGCCGTTTCCGAGATTCCGATTATATATATATACAAGAATTGCTCGTTTAAAAGTATAGAATTAAAAGTTATCATAGGAACTGTAGCATCTAAATCACAAAGCCTAGTAGAAGACGTTGACACCAACGTGGCTGAACGTTTTAATAGCGTGATTGCTAAACTGGTTGGAGGGAAACGCATCAATTTTTGTCTAAGACGTGGTTATCAAGGACGATGTGCTGCAGCTGTTGTATCATTTAATAACAAGTTGCTGAGACACACGATTCAGAAGAAGTTGTTAGGCAAAAGCCCAAAAAGTATTTTAAAGAAGATGGAAATGAAAAGAAACAGAAAAAGACAACGGAATTGTAAAAACCCATTTAATAAAAATAGAACAAATGTCAGAACAAAGAAAGAAACAAAAAATGATTATGGATCAAATAGCGCTGCCCCAGATATGGTACCCGATGAGTTAGAGAGGGCTAAAAAATATTTTCTTGAGAATTTGAATATCTTGACTATGAACAAACCGCAAATCGAACGAGATACGAAATTTCAGAGAGATTGCAGTGACTGGTTGGAACTGAGAAAACAAATGGTAACAGCGTCCAATTTTGGGAAATTTTTTAAAAAGCGTCCGAACACATCTACAGCAAACCTTGTAAAAAATTTGTTGTATACAGAAAACATTGCCCATGTAGCAGCCGTAGCTCACGGTGTAGAAAATGAAAAGCAGGTAAACGTCACAATCGAACCATGTGGTCTATTTGTCGATGATAAATAAATATTCATTTATTGGTGCAACGTCGGACGGGTTAGTAGGTGACGATACAATAGTAGAAGTCAAATGCCCAATAACAGCCTTCATAATGGGGATAGAAGAGGCTATTAAAGCAAATAAAATTCAAATGTATAAATTTAACAAAAAAAAATGAAACATATACAATAAACCGTAACAGCAACTGGTTTTACCAATTACAAGGCCAGTTGCACGTCACTAATAGACAAAAATGTATATTTGCAATATGGGCTGGCCAAGAAAAAGATTTAAAAGTATCATACATAGAAAAAGAAGATATGTTTTGGAACGAAAAAATGGAGAAAAAAATAGTTGACTTTTATATGCACAGCATTCTCCCGGAAATAGTAGACCCGAGGCATTCACGCGGGATGGCGATACGAAATAGTCACGATATACATCCAAATGTACTAATGGTACTACCACCCTGTGATTCAGCTCCTACGCCGACACAGTTGCGGCAAATTAAACCAAAAGTTTTAAATTACACTGAATTTTAAATGATTTATTTTTATTTTTAGATTTCGTCCAAAAAAGAAAGTAATGTGGTATAAGTTTGACTTGTCTGTGATTCTATTTATTTTCATATCTATAGGTGGCACTCTAGCGCCTAATTAGCTAGACAGGGGATTTTGATGATTTAAATCTACTCTTGCTATAGTTGATATAATAATAATAATATTTATTGAATCCAAACATACTTTACATAAGAAGAATTAAATAATAATAATTTAGCTTATATAGTATTAAAATCGGCCAAGTGGGAGTCGGATTCGCCCATGAAGGGTTCCGCACTATCATGTGTCCGCACCGTAATGTTGTAACATTTAATAATACTCTAATACTCTATTCAAAAATAAATTTTTAAAAAGTTCCCTCATACATAGTACTAAATTTTATATGATGCTGCGGTACCCTTCACGTTCGAATCCGACTCACACTTGACCGGTTTTTTCTATTACTTCGGCCGGTTATTTAATAAATATTATGTGTGAGGTTATGTTTATTGAATTGATGTGTAATACAAAACCGTTAAATAAAATTGAATTTCTATTGGTTTATTTGAAACTATCCTTTTTCTGTTATTTTAGCTATTTTGTCAACGAAACTTTGGTTTTTCTAGAATTTGTGCGTTAGCGTTTGAAATGTTGCTTGCCTACTTATATTATAAAACTGAAGAAACGAAAAAATAACGAAAAAATCGAAGTAGTATTGAAGTGGCGAAACAAGCGAAGCTTCGGAGCGGAATAAAGTGAATTAGTGTGTTTAATTATTAGTGTTTTAAGTTTTAATTTGTGTAAAGTAAATTAAAGTGTTAATTTAGGTAATTTTATCGGCAATTTTTATTGTCACGAACCTCAAGCTCGTAACAATTGGTGTCAGAAGTGGGATAAAATCATGCCGATTTTACCTAAGGAGGAAACGGAGGGTGTCCGTACCCGAAGTCAACGCCAGCAGGAGACGGACCAGAGGAGATTTGGTGGTGCAACGCCGCAGATGTCTGAGGGCCAGCCGCCGGCCACGGAAGCCGGCCCGTCAGCAGCTTCTACGTCTGTGGCACCTGACTTAGGTGCTCTGATGGTGATGCTGCAGCACAGCTGCAGCGCGGACAGGCGGAACAGGGCCGCCGATTGGAAGAGCAGCTGCGGGGCGGACAAGAGGAACAGGCCCGTCGGTTGGAAGAGCAGATGCTCCTCATGAAGGACCTTCACGCTACCTTCGGGAAGGAGATAAAGGAGGTAAAGGATAGGGTTGCTCAGCATGACAACCGCCTGTCGGAAGCTGAAACCCAAATCGCGAAAGCTGAAAACCGAATCGAGAAAGCTGAAACCCGAATCGACCAAGTAAACAATCGGGTTGACAACGTAATGGCTGACATGAAGAAATCACTAGACGAACTCAAACTTGGGGATGGAACTACAGCTCCCGTAGTAGCTACAGCACCTTCGCTACGTGGATTCAAAGTGCCGCCGTTCGACGGGACCTCTTCCTGGTCGGCCTACAAAATCCAGTTCGAGGCCGTCATGGAGGCAAACGGCTGGAATAAAAGCCAGGCCATGACTGCACTCACCTTAGGCCTGCGCGACCAAGCCTTAACCGTGTTGGAAGCTCTCGGTAAGAAAGTGACCTACGAGCAGCTCCTTCAGTCACTGGAGGCGAGATATGGTACGCTCACCTGGAACACGTCTTTCGCGCGCAGCTTAAAGATCGCGTGCAACGCAGCAACGAAAACCTGCAGCAGTGGGCCCTTGAGGTGGAGAAGATGGTTCGAAAAGCATACCAGTCTGTACCTGCGCTCATTGAAGGGAACCTGGTGCAGACATTCATCGACGGCATCCGTGACCTGGAAGTCAGAGCTGCTGTGAGGCTCGGGCACCACGAAACGCTTAAGGACGCCTTGGCCCATGCACTGGAGGTAGAAGCCGTGCGGCAGGATCATCGTTCCCATCGCGTCAGGGAGGTTGCAGCAGCTACAGTTCGTGACCGCAACAAAGGATACAGCCCTAGGTGCTATGGCTGTGGGGAAAAGGGCCATCTTCGATCCAGCTGCCCTAAACGAACCGTGGAAAGGAGAGTTGATCGATCTCGACAGGGTAGTGCAGCTAACGGCACCGCCTGGCGGCGACAGGATCATCGTTCACCTCACGCTAGGGAGGTTACAGCAGTTACGGTTCGCGACCACAATAAAAGATACAGCCCTAGGTGCTATGGCTGTGGGGAAAGGGGCCATCTTCGGTCCAGCTGCCCTAAGCACACCCTAGGAAGGGAAGGTGAACGGTCTCAGAAAGGAAGTGCGGCTAACAGCACCGCCCAGCAGCAGCAGGAATACGACTTTACTATCAGACACTGCAGCGGGAAATCTCACGGCAACGCAGATGCATTGACAAGAAGACCTTGTACTGAAGATTGCAACCATTGTATTAGGCAAGAGAGTAAGAAAGTGGTATCCGTGAGGATACTCAGGACAGACCACCTCAGCAACGGGTGGAAGGACAGCCTACGACATGCACAGCAGGAAGATCCGGACATCAAGCCGATTCTGGGATGGATGAAGGCCCGTGCTACCAAGCCTAAGTGGAGGGACGTCTCAGCGATGAGTTCAACCACGAAAAGCTATTGGGCCCAATGGGACAGCTTGCTGATTCAGGATGGAGTCCTGTGCCGTAAATGGGACAATGGTCGAAGAGACAGCTGTCGTTTGTAAATGGTTGTCCCTAAAGCTAAAGTGCCGAATGTTCTACAGCTGTGCCATAATGGTCGTTCAAGGGTCCATCTGGGAGTTAAACGAACTATACTGAAGGTCCGAGAACAGTTTTACTGGGTCCATTATCGTGACGATGTCGAGGATTGGTGTCGTACATGTACAAGTTGTGCGGCCGTGCGGGGACCTCAGACACGTAGTAGAGGAGCACCGAAATTGTACAATGTTGGTGCACCACGGGATAGGACAGCCCTTGACATTGCGGAGCCGTTACAGAAAGGCGCAAGAGGGACTCCTAAGATCGTCCATGTGGATCGCTTGGCGCGTTATTATGGGGCCGATAATGCTCGGGACGAGCATGTCTTAGGAGGGGGCAGTGTAACGCGCTCAAGTCGACGATACACTAGCGCCATCTAGTGTCAGGAACGAGAGCGAGGGGAGCATTGAGAAAATGACATCACAAATCACACAACCGACAGCGCCATCCGAAGAACTAAGTTTCTAGAAAATCTACACTCGCACACTCGTCCCTTTGCGCGCATTTACTTGAATATTCCGGATGCTTCTTTGCTAATTTAAATAAATAGGCGCTGCAAGATGCGATCGAAGTAGTATTGAAGTGGCGAAACAAGCGAAGCTTCGGAGCGGAATAAAGTGAATTAGTGTGTTTAATTATTAGTGTTTTAAGTTTTAATTTGTGTAAAGTAAATTAAAGTGTTAATTTAGGTAATTTTATCGGCAATTTTTATTTTCACGAACCTCAAGCTCGTAACAATATTATATTCTGATCGTAAGCGACACAACCTCCCCGTCCCAAGGCCGAGGCGAAGTGACCGTGCTGTAGGAATCACGCTTCAAAAGGCCAATAGTTTAGGTAATTTCTTTTTACAGTAAAAATAATGGTATTTTAAAAAAAGTAAATAACATAAGCACTACTTTATAGTTAGTTCAGTTAGTATTCAGTGTTCAGTTCAGTTCAGTGTTCAGGTAATATTTCATGATCTTATTTAAAGTATTTTATGAATAACAGCGGTTTATTGTTTATTTTGGAGGTAACTTTGGATTTTTTTTCTACCGAGAAAATTTTACGAAATCGTGTTTTCGTCTAACATAATCCTTAACATTAATCCTCAACTTTACCATATATTTATTTCAAAATTAATGCTGCAATATTTTCGGCATAACGAAGGATCTTGCTAAGCCATTTGACATTATATTTCCCCTTAACATCGACCATTCAAATAGATTGCGTCATAGGGGAGGGATGGGGGGGGGGGAAATTTGCTACAGTTGCTTTGTTTGCTACGCATGACAGGTGGCCTATCTCCTTATTCAGTGTAGATACCTTCTGTACACGGTCAAGTAGTGGGATGTTAATAACTTATTATCAACTAACTACTAATTTAAAATGAAATAAATAGTAGTAAACATTGAAACTATTTAATTTACCCCTCTCAGAAATGGATGGAGGCCTGTGCCCAGCAGTGGGACGTATACAGGCTGTAACTTTAACTTTAATTATTAATATTATTAGATACTTACAATAAAGCAGTGTTTCCCATCGACAGCTCCAAAACAGTGTATGAAGATACGTAGGTAAACTCCACTCACGGACATTTATTTTCCATTGCTCTTCGAACTCGAAACCTAAAAAAATATGTATTTACTCAATATTACAGACGGACCAAGATGGCGTCCAGGGAATCGAGCTGCCATCAAACGATGCCTCAATGTTATCTACGCAACCACAGTCAACACAGCAAGCACCATCTGGTAGCCAGAAGACAGGCAAACGAAGAATAGATGATGATATAAATGAATTGTTTGAAATTGTTAAATCCGCGAAAGAAAAAATGGTTGAATTTAAAGATGAGTATGATATCTATGGCCAGTACGTTGCTTCAGAATTAAGAGCGACAAAAAATGAGAATGCAGTACTTCAGGCCAAGTCTTATATTAATGACATATTAATAGATGCAAGGATGGGAAAGTACAATTACACTTTACGGGCATCAAAATCATCTAGGATCTGATTGAAACTCATAAAACTACATCGGCATCAGCAAATACTGCAAGACTATAAATGAATAGTACATTAAATAACTAGTTCCATAAATAGAATCAATACCAGAAACAAAAAGACTTTTACTATAACCTAGCTAATTAAGGTATTTCTTCAATACATGTACTTAATTGTTGTTTATTACATTGTAGTCACGCTGTAGCTATATCCAATATTGGTCGGCTCCGACGGGGAAGTACCACGCGTTAACAGAATACCAGCGTAAAATAGTAGATTAATGCTGCTTGTTGGTGGTAATAATTGTAAGAGAATGCTGTGGCCCATAGATATCTAGATTTGTCCCCAAATAAGAATCAAAGTGCAGATGCATTGTCACCCCCGAGGACTGAGATGGATTTTTATATATAATAAGGGTGATAAACGAGCACACAGTCCACCTGAAGGTAAGTGAATGTTGTGCCACATAGACATCTACAATTACCCTCAAATCAAAACGCAAATGCGTTTCCTCCCCTGAGGACTAAGATTGAATGCCTCGCTTCCAGTAACAATGGGGTCTCCAGATTTCTAAACTCACCATACGAAATAAAGCAGGATTAAGCTGCTATTTTACGCCGGTATTTTTTAAAAGCGTGGTCTTTCCCCGGTCAAGCCAACTTATTCGTGCTACAACCATAATATAGTTGCAGCGTGGCTCTACCACGTTAAAAAAATTAAAAAAGTTTAAAATTTTAATCGAAGATAGATTTAAGTGGCTTTGCGCCACAGCATTCACTTACCATCAGACGGACTGTGTGTGTGTGTTTTTTTGTCACCCTTATTTTCTACGAAAAATGTATATTTACTAACTTTACAAGAAAGTTAGAGACACTGAAGCCATAACTGGCTCCCGACATATTAAAGGAAAACAAAGCGGCCTTTAGGAACCACCCATGATCAACCGCAACACCAAGGGAACTGCAGGTGCGTTGCCAGCCCTTCAGAAAAGGGTAAGCTCTTTTCTTGAAGGTCTCCAAGTCGTATCGGTCCGGAAAAATCGCCGGTGGTAAACTATTCCACAGAGAGGTCGTACGCGGAAGAAAAATCCTTGTGAAACGTACAGTGGTGGACCGCCAAGCATCCAGATGGTGTGAATGGTATCGGGACGTTTGCCGCTGAGTGCGTTCACGAGGTTTAGCAGCTGGCTAGTCTATTTTTGTGTGTCTGTGGAAAATGTTACTCCTATATAACACTCTAAGTCAAGACTCATGTTTACCTGAAACTTCTGATAGGGTGTAATAGATGTTCGTCTGAGGAAGGAAAAGGAGAAAGCTGCCGCCAGACAAGGTGATCAGCCCGGGGAGCGCCAATGCTTCACGTGTTGGTACAGAGCTGTTTTATATACAGCGCAGTAACTTCGGAACTTTGATAGCGCGATTTAGGCTTCGGTGAGTTTTGCTTGTGGCGCGATCGCCGCCACAGATTTTTTTTTTTTTTTTTTGTATTCAAATTGGAACAGCTAACAGCTACATTATATACAGGGTCATTTTTAATTTACTGAAGACCTTTGGGGAATATATTATTTACACCATAACAACAACATCTGTAAGAAAAAAATATATTTCTTCAATTGTTATTTTCATACAAAAATAAAAATATTTTAATTGGAGCTTCCAAACGGTAATAGTCCTAGTTAGGCAGTTAGCAATAAAAAGCGCGTGGCGAGGGAGGGGTGGAGGGGTGTAGGAGGCGACGATACTCATAAACTTGACCTAATTAGTAATAGTTATACGGGCTCTCAGACTCCTGTGTGATTCACGGCGTGAATTCACGCCGTAATTTTGCCGCGAACTCGTCGCGAAAAACACATCTCTCCACATTTGCAATCGTTCACAGTTTAGTTCGCGCGCTCGTCGATAACGGACGCTGAAATATGCACTGCTAATGCCGTGACGCTATACGCTTTGTCTCACGACAATTACGTGTAGTATATAAAAGATAAAAAAACTGTATTTGTAGTTTTTTTTACAATTATCGCTCTCTTCTAGAAAAGCATCGATCACGTCAAAGGCAATTCAAATGGGCTTGTAAATTTCTATAACTGGACATTAGACTTTCTTTTTTTTTCAATCAGTCACTTCAACGCTTTTTTGTGGTAGAGCCATACTGCAGTTATATTAGTAGTATAGTTGTAGCACGAATGGGTCGGCTCGACCGAGGAAGGACTACGCTCTCACAGAATACCACACGTAAAACAGTAGCTTAATGCTGCTGTTTCGTATGGTGAATGTAGAGAACCGGAGACCCTTTTTACTAGAAACGAGGCATTCCATTCCAGTCCTCACGGGTGACAACGCATCTGCATTTTGATTCGTAATCGAGGATAGATGTAGATGTCTATAGAATACAGCATCCACATAACATCAGGACTTTGTGCTCGTTTGTCACCCTTTCCTATAAAAAAAAATAATATTCATTATTTCCTTTATTCGTATCCAAGCGTCATGTACTTTCATTTTATTGTTATGATCTTTATGTTTAGCATCCCATAAAATGGGTACGGCATGATAATACTCGATCAACAAGAGTTCCTGCTCGTTCGTCCAACTGACGCTCATTTTGACGCACCGTCCTCCGTAAAAAAATACAAATAAGCACAACCTCACAGCAACGAGACAACAAACAACACTCGCGCGTTACTGTTTTCACGCGCGAGTGTGGATGCTCTTGCGTTCACGGGAGGTTCACGCGTCGTAAACCCTTTGAAGCGGTCACAAAATACCGACACTGAACGGGGAACATAGCGTGAAAAGGCGCGAAGCCCGTGAACGGGCGCGAAAGCCATCCACATTCGCGGTTCACGCCTTTCACGGGTGTTCACGGCGTGAATGTGGAGGGCGCTTAACATGTGTCGTCAGTCGCCTTTGATGCGCCCGCGACGCTTGTCTTTTCGTTGTGAGATTATTGTGAACGTTACCTTTTTTACGATGGCATACCGATACTCAAATGTTGAGTATACCGAAATGGTGCGAATTTTAGCAATTTGCAATGATAACGTTAGTGAAGCCTGCCGTGAATATTCAAGGCGATTTCCCAACTCACGTGCACTGTGCTACGCTACGATACTAGGCGCTACACAGCGATTGCGAGATTACGGGCAATTCCAGCCTGTATCAATCGATCGTGGTCGTCCGCCGCGGCGCACAGTACGTGAGCAGGAAGACATACTGCAGTTTTTTGAAGACAATCCAGCAGCGAGCACTTATGAAGCAGCCCGACAGTTCAATGTGTCACAATATTACGCATGGAGTGTCATACACAATGAAGGGAAGTACCCCTTTCACCTGCACCGTGTTCATGAACTCAACGAAGCTGACAAACCTGCGCGAGTTACATTTTGTAATTGGTTACTAGCTGCTGAACGAGCTAACATTTTATGGACTGATGAAGCAACATTTGGCAGAATAGGGCTATTTAATACGCACAGTGAACACTTGTGGTGCTATGAAAATCCACATGAACCAAGACCACATAGCTTTCAACACCGGTTTAGTGTCAATGTGTGGGCAGGCCTTATTAATACAACGTTACTGGGCTCTGTTTTCATAGAAAGATTAAATGGTGAAAGCTATCACAATTTTCTCACCGGCACGCTGCCGGAATTGTTAGAGGATATACCACTTGCATCTCTACGCAATATTTATTATCAACTTGACGGGGCACAGGCGCATTATGCTCGTCAAGTTAAGGATTATTTAAACAGAAAATACCTTGGACGCTGGATCGGACGTGGCAGGCCTTGTGCATGGCCTCCCAGATCGCCAGATATCACACCAATGGATTTTCATTTGTGAGGGCATGTAAAGACATTAGTGTATACTGGTCGCACACTCGAAACCCGCGACATGTTGAAAGAAAAAATAATTTGGGCATTCGATCAAATCAAAATGAATACTCAACTTTTATCTCGTGTCGGTGAACAGTAAACTTTTAGGTGTCACCTATGCATAGAATGTGGAGGTGATTATTTTGAACGCTATGTGCGCGATACTCACCGCCATCCGCGGTCGAGTACCTCTAATTCTAATGTATAAATTTGTATTTTAATATTTTTATTGAACCCTTTTTACCTAAATATTTTTATTCAATTACTGTTGTAAAATGTGTGGAAATATCTGTATTTAATCATTATAACTATTTTATTGTAATATTTGTAATTATTTTAACCCGCATCCATTTTTTAAATACAACTTGCATTTAATAAATAAAAAATAGATAAGAATAGGTAGGGTAAAACACCCGGTAGTCAGCCCTGTGCCAGTACTCAGCCTTTACAGACATTATTTCGTTATAAATAGTGCTGATATTTGTCTACACCTTTAAATTAACGTTTAATTGAATCCATGTCTCCTTATTGGTTAATATGCACACCTACGAACCAATAGCTCATCAGGTTGGTAAGCTATACTTGGTAAGCTTTACACTGCTGTCAAAGACACGTCTACACGCATCGCTTTTGCAATTTTTTTCTTAAGGAAACGCGCTCTAGTATTCGTTAAGTTTTTGGGTGTATTTGCTGTAATTTATGGTAGACTGTTTTACACAAAAATGATTATTCTGTCGTAAAGTTAACTATTAAATGCATTTTATTTGTTTGATATGTTGTAATTTAGGTGGCCGACTACCGGGTTTCGAATTTTTAGGATAGATCCAGTACTCAGCCTTAAGTGGCTGACTACTGGTTTTTTCATGATTTTCTTATATGTGGTTGAGATTGCTGAAGCGAATAGTCCCAATTTTGCCCATTACTTTCGGTTTAACTCTTATGAGACGAAAAGTGTATTTTACCAGTAGTCGGCCGCGTGCGAATGTAGGTAATTGCATATCGGGGGCCGACCAATGGGTCTACAAATCCAGTACTCAGCCGTTAGTCTTGTTGCATAAAATAAAATAAAAAATATTAAAGCCTTTTAGTTTGGGTTGAATTTATGCACGGTTATTTTAGCGTGAATATCATTTTTTTAGAATTGT